TCACTGTTATAGTCCTTGTGTCTGTAATGTACTCAGCTGTGGTCACTATTATGAACACAATTATACCTCCCTGGTCTCTGTCATGTACTCACTGATACAGCCAGCATTGGTCTCTGTACTCTGTATTGCACTCATTAATGTGTCCCTGATCTGTGTTATACAATGAATCCTGCAGCACTGGCCTCTGTAATACGCACATTGATACAACCCTGGTTCCTGTAATGCACTTGCTAATGTCTCAACAGTCTTTTTAATACAATAATTATTGCAGCTATGGTCTGTAATACACTTGTTAATGCCACTTTGGCCTCTGTAGGGGCCTGGGTTGAAAAGTTTTGGACTTGTGTCAATGGTATCAAATCAGTTTGGTGTCTGTAATGCACTTATTAATGCCTCCCTGGTCTCTGTCATGCACTCATTGATACAATCCTGGTCTCTGTAACATACACTCACTAACACAGCAATAGTCTCTGCAAAGCACTCATCGATACAACTCTGGTCTCTGCAATCCTCTAATTAATGCCTCCCCGGTCTCTGTAATGCACTCATTAATACATCTCTGCTCTCTATAATGCACTCATCAATGCCACCCTGGTCTCTGTACTGCACCCATTAATACATCCCTGGTCTCTGCAATTAACTTTTAAAAATCTGCCTGGTCTCTGGAATGCACTTAATAACGTCTGCCTGGTCTCTGGAATGCACTCACTGTTGCAGCACTGGTTTCTGTAATGCACTCATTAATCTAGCCCTGGTCTCTGCAATGCAATCATCAATGCAGCCTTGGTCTCTAATGTTTTCAAATGCCTTTGTTTATGGTGTTTTATGGTGATTCCATGCTACTAAGTTGATATTGTAGTAAAGTGTTTGATAATCTTGGCATACTACGCTGACTCACTGATACAACTCCGGTCTCTGTAATTTGCTTGTTTATGTGTCTTTAGTCTCTGTAATACACTCATTGATACAGTCCTGGTCTCTGTAATGCACTTACTGTTGTACGGTAGCACTGGTCTTTTTAATGCACTCACTGATACCGCTCTGTTCTATGTAATGTAGGACAGCAACAACTAATCGATTAAATCGATAATAATCGATTATGAGAATAGTTGGCAACTATTCTCATTGTTGGTTAGTTTGGGGGGGGGGGGGGATTTTTTAATGCAACCAATCGATTAGTTGAAAAAATAATCGGGCATTATGAAAATAATTGTGAGCTGCAGCCCTACTGTAATGCATCATTAACATCTCTCTTGTCTCTTTTATGTACATATTACTGTCTGCCAGGTCTCTGTCATGCACCTATTGCTACAGCCCTGGTTTCTGTAATGCACTCATTATCGCCTCACTTGTCTCTGTAGTACACTTATTTTTGCAGCGCTGGACTCTTAAATGCACTCATTAATAAAGCTCTGGTCTCTGTGATGCACTCGTTGTTGTGAGCCTATAGATAATAGTGGCAGGAACGGGGTGAATATTCATATGGCCTGGGTGGCACTAGCAATACGCTGCATCTTGTGGTCATGGCACTCTAGAACTAGGCCAAGGAGGTCTAGAGCTAAAGAGGGGGATTGCCACACTGTGGAGTACAGTATATGGTACATTACTCCTGATAGTACAAAGTTGAATGTGTAAAGAACCCCACAGGGAATAGCCTTCTACAAAGGGATATGGAAGAGCACAGAAGGAGAATGCTCACTGGTGGTGTATATTTAAATGGGTGCAAGATGCCCAGGACAGGAAATCACAAGTATTTACCTCTTTATATATTGTACAGGTGAAAAAAACCACAATGAAAATCGGTTTTCCATGTTTTATAGCAGTTGTTAATATTCCACACACGCAGAAATCAATATTTTTCTCTTGAACAGCTACCAGAAATTCGAGCACTGCTCAAGGGAAAAATGTTTCACTTTAACTGTTAATTTAAATTGTAGTAATAATATTTTAGGAAAGCAAATTTGAAATCGCTGCTTGCAATATTTAGAGTGGAAAAGATTGCTGCCAAGTTTTAGTTATGATAAATGATTTGCTAGATAATGAGATTTCTGTTCTTGTTCAATGGTTTTTATTGAAAGTTTTAACATGTACAGAAAAGAATATGGTAGGCAGGAACATACATACATATTCATGCCATAGGTGCAATGTTAAATTAGGGTCTTCGGGGCCTTTACACTGAAGTATAGGTACCATCTGACCATGAGATTAAAGCGTACTACTGAACATGATCTGCAACTTCAGTAGGCCTAAATCCATCTCTGCCTTAATTGGATACACTAGGACAGCCAGAGGAGGGAGAATCTGGGTAGGTCATGGACATTTTGAAAAAGTTTATTTAATAAGGCTTCCACTGGGTATTAGTGTAGGATACAACTTAAGACTGTATATAAATAAGAGAAGACTAGGATCCATAGCCTCATGCCTTAGGACATAACCACCATACATGAAACATTGTTCCCTAATGTCCAGAGCCCCTAAAACAAAGTTGTGAACATTGGGTACATACTTGGCGATGTGGAAGGGTGTGACTTACCAATGAAATAGTCATTTGTATGAATTCTCCAATGCTAACATACAATATCAAATAAACCCCTATCCATAGATGACCAAATATTCTCCCAATCCGTATAAGGTAGAGTTTTGCCCAGTTCTCCTTCTCAGCCTAACATCTAGTTGTTTTTGGTGGAGGTCTCTGGGAGCAAATTGAAGACTGTACAGGAGAAACAAGACCTGTGGTGTGATGATCAGTGTGGCGTTTACTCTCAAAACATGTGAGGTTAATCAGGGTGTCATCGCTCAGATCTAGAGAGCTCGGGCCGGCCGTTTTTTTACTACGGCCGGCCCGGAGGTGGAAAAAAAGTGAGGAGACAAAATATTGTAATTATATAGAATGCTAAATGTCATCATAAAGAGCTTCATGCATCTCCAGAAATTAATCAAAGGATTAGATGCCAACAAAGGTTGTTTGCCTTGCAGAAAAAGTACTGGCATGCATTTTTTAAACTTCAATGCACGGCATTCAACCACATTGTAGTGATTTTTTTACCCCCCTTTTTTTCCAATGCTTTTAGCATACACTGCAGTCATTGAGACGCGTTACTGTAATGTACAATATGTCCTGTTTTTTTCAACCTACACCAATGCGCTGGTGTGAACAGAAACCATAGAAAATAAGGCTATTTGCCTTGTCCTTGCACTAAGACAGTTTTGGGCAAGGTAGCTGCTATGTACCCCTGCTCTGTACCCCTGAACAAGAATTAATGAGCAGCCATACTTTTTTATTGAGGAAGAGACATACTATGGGCACTATAAACAATTGTTTTATGACATTTTTTTATTGGCGCTCATGTTATAGGCATTTAACATGTCCCAAATCATCAATACAGTGTGCCTATGTTAGAGATGATTTGTGACATGTGCGCCAAATCCTGGAAAATCGCAAATGATGATTTTGCGCATATCTGTGGTTTCTCCCACCAACTCATACATTGCTATGGTACATATGAGCCGGCTGTAGTACCCACAGCCTGCAGCCTGAGAGCAGCTATCCCACCCACCCGAAGAGTCACTTTGAGTCTATCAATTGGCAATCAAATACTATTTCTAAAACATCTTTATTTTTATTTTCCTTAAAGTTTGTTCTGCCAAAGAGAGGACTACTTACTAAGACAGGGATGGGCAACTCTGGCCCCCCAGTTGTTGTGGAACTACAAGTCCCATGGGGCATTGCTAGACTGACAGTTACAGGCATGACTCCCAGAGGCATGTTGAGATTTGTAGTTAAAGCATAGTAAGAAGTACAGAGTTGCCCGTCCCTTACTAAGACCTCATTCACACAGGTGGAAAAAGGCCGATTGGCCGCGTTTTTGCTGCTACCGGACCCCCTAGCAACGCTCTGCAATGATTTCTCGATGTGGTGCTGTACACGGGCTGAACATCAGAGTGATGATGGTGTAAGAATCTATTATATTGTATCCAAAAAGAAAGTTTGCTTTATAAATAGCAAAATATAACAAAAACACCACAGGAAACCACCAAAAAACCACAAGCCCACACACTACACCTCACAATAGGTCACATTCCCTTCATCACTTCCACTTTAAAAGTGTCAAATCTAAAACGAAAGAAAGAAAAGAAACTGCACAGAGGGTGTTTGAGGATTGTTGCTTGACATGACGTGAACACGTGTGCACGCAAAAGTCAGGGCTAAAATTCAAAGCCTGTGTGTACTTAAGTAGGGGGCAATATTTTTTTTAAAGCAGAACTCCGGGCAAATTTTTTCTTAACCCTTGTAGTTGGTCTACCCCAGCACTGCAAGGGTTCAGTGGTCATTTTTGCCTAGGTCAGGGGTAGGCAAGCTTGGCTCTCCAGCTTTGCCGAAACTACAAATCCCAAAAGGCATTGCAAGCCACAGGCATGACTCCCAGAGGCAAAATCATGATGCGATTTGTAGTTTCAGCACAGTGAAAATCACTCGCCTCATAATTCTCCTTTAACTGAACGAACTGAAAAGAGAAACTGATTGGCTGCCATCCACATCTGCTCCAGATTTTGTCTGCTCCAGTTTTAAATAAATTCCCTCCAGTGTATAGTACGTGAGGACACTGAGGGACATACCATAGCTGCAGCATAGGCGACAGGCTTCAGGGTCTGGAGGCGGTATAACTGTTTTTTAGCACAGTTCCATTTCTGAAGTTGCCGCGTTTGACAAGCAGCGCCTGATTTAGGGTTTTTGTGGGCGGTAACAACATGGATCACCTGCCTGTTTTTGCCACTTATGTAAACAAGGTCCTAGTCTAATAATAAGCACACATCATAACAAGAAAAATTGTAGCCGTGTTATAGTTAAAAAGATAATAGCTCCATGACAAAAAGCATTTCATGCACATCCAACAATAATATTATATGCCATAAACATGCACAATAGCCTGTGCGATGCGCTTTCATGTTACTCTTGATCATCCCTGTCATGTGCCCCGAATTAATGACTCCCCACTCACTCTTTCGGAGTTTGACCCTGCGCTGAGCTTAAACGGTGGGCAGAATCCTTCTTCTTGGTCTGTTTGGAAGACATGACAGCGGCTGTGTGTAGGTCCAACGCTCCTGACCGCTCTCGGCTCTCCTACAATAGCAAAGTACCGTAACACCGCGTCCTGTGGTTGCTAGGAAACAGCGGATACGCGCTTCCTGTTCTATTGTGCTGAGGTTCGTGAGCGCGCCTCTGTCACTGATCACGTGATCCACTTGACTTGGTTGCACAAATGACATGTAGAAGATTGTTTTGGTGGAAGCTGAAATAAATATTGTTTATTGTTGTTATGTTATTACTTTGTATGAAAGATTTCCCCCTGGTGTTGGTTTCAGACACACTTAGAGCAGTTAAAGGAAACCTGTCATGGGATAATATGCAGGCTGCAGCAGAGATGTCAACCCCATGCAAAATTGTCACAGCTCATTTTATCAAGGGGTGAATTACCATTCTGTGTAATACAATGTAATTACCTAGAAGTCCCATTCACACTGCTAAGGTTTTTTGCTTTCAATGCACGCGTGTAGTCATGGATTAACGTGTGTTGCATTATGGTATTTTTTTAAATAGGTTGCCTAATGCGTCACAATGGACCAGAAAGGCTCCTGCAGCGTTTCTCTAGCGCAGTGAAATGCGATGCGCAGTAGTGAGTTGTCAGGCATCAGATAAGATAAAACTTTCAATAGATTCACTTGGACAGGTTTTTGGTGTAACAGATGTAATGAATTCTTCATCCTAAAGCTGGTCATATGCTGTTTGAATTTTGTTCAAATGTTCCCTAGAAATAATTTTTCAGAACGTTCGACCTTGCCAATTTTGTTCAAAAGCCCTTAAAAGTTTTGTCCAGACTGGCTACTTGAATGGAATCCCAGATGTATTAAAGGAAAACTATGGGGTTAAGGCTTTTCCCCATAGTTCTCCTTAGGGTAACGGGAGGACACAAACTAGCGTCCTCCCGTCACCCTAGGCTCAGTATTCCGTGAGCTGTACCTCGCGATATACTGAGACGCAGCAGTATACCGCGAGCTGCGGCTCGCGGTGTATTGAGTCGCCGCAGCTGAAGCGGATCCCGACAATTGTGCCAGGATCCGCCCAGCTGTGTGACTGACAGCTGGGTCTGCCTATCTACAGGCAGAGCCAGCTGTACCCGCCCCTTCCCCATCCGTCAGCGCTGGCGGAGCGGGGAGGGGGGAATCCAGCCCCTCCCTCTGCCGTGACAGGATCGAGAGGTGAGCGAACGCCGGTATGTGTTCGCTCACCTCCCGATCTACTGAGCCGACCTGTGACAGTCTCATTGTCACAGGTCGGCTAGAACTATGAGGTGAGTGAAGAGCACTCACCTCATAGTTCTCCTTTGAACAGTTTTTTTTTCACGGTTAGAACATGGTTGTGTTTGTTCAGATAAGGAAACATTTTTCATCTTACTCCTTCGACTTTCCTCATCACTACGTCAAAAACGAATGCTGAGTAGACCCCAAAAACCATCATAGAATCAAAGGTTCCAAAAAGAAACATTTTCAAACACAATACAACTAGCATGCACTAGGGTTAGGGATTGCCTAGCTGGAGACAGTTGGGTGCCGGTGGCACACACAAGTCCATACCTATAATGAGGTGTTCCTGCTGCCCCCTTACCGGCCAGAGCGACCCTCTGGCTGGCATCCCTTCCAGCTCACTGATGTCACTGGTTACCAGGAGCTGAGCGGGATGCCATGACTGGCGTCAAGCCCAGCACCTGGCAACCTGTGACATCAGTGAGCTGGGTGGGACGCTGGACAGATGTATCGTGCACCCCCACACCCTGACAGAGTGTGAGCAATAATTCTAGTGCCAACATTTTTGTGTATCCCTAAACTGATGACCTGTAGAGGCTTTTAAAGCGTCATCTATGAACTTTTTGAGGTACTGATATTTGTCACCGTTTCACGGATGCACACAATTTTTAACCTGGGCATGTTGGATATCTGTTTTACTCGGCATAACCTCATATTTTATATTTGATAAAAAAACTTTTAAAACTGTTAATTTTTCACAGAATTTTGAGGTTTCATAAAGAGTTGCGCTAAGATCGTGCAACATAAACAATTGCAACTGCCGCCATTTTATTCTACAGGGTCTTGGCTTTCAGAAAATATATAAAGGGATATTCACTAAAAGGTGAAGTGTTTGGTGAAGGAAGGAGAAGTGAACAATCTAGGCCAAAATAGCTGATTTAGAAAAATTCTCCAATTCAGCTCACTTTCCAGTTCACCTATTTTAGCCTGGATTGTTCACTTCTCCTGCCTTCTCCACACTCTTCACCTTCTAGTGAATAACCGGGATAATGTTTGGGGGTTTAAGTAATTTTCAGGCCTAAAATGTGGATTATAATGTGTGTGCACAAAAATGAAAAAAAAAAGGACTTGGCAGCGGGTTAAAGGAAGCATTGCAAGAGAAGGGAACTGGCCATAGTGGAATTGAAGTATATTCTGCATTTGTTGAGCTTTTTGCTGCAATGATGTACAATCTTGTCTTTCATCCTTTAAAGGAGAACTATGGGGTCAAGGCTTTTCCCTATAGTTTTCCTAAGGTTCACGGGAGAACACAAACTAGCGTTCTCCCGTGACCCAAAGCTTAGTATACCGCGAGATAAAGCTCGCGGTATACTGAGACTTCACAGCCAGAACAGATCCCGATATTGCTGTCAAGATCCACCCAGCTCGGGATTGACACCTGGCTCTGCCTATCCAGCTGTGCTCGCCCCCTCTCCCATCCGTTCCACCAGTCAGCTCTGGAGGATCGGACAGGGGAGGGGGGGATCCCTGCAGGGAGCCGTGAGTGACAGTCATGGCTCTCTGCAGGGATAGATCGAGAAGTGAGCAAGCAACGGTGTGTGTACGCTTACTTCCCGATCTACTGAGCCGACCTGTGACAGTTTCATTGTCACAGGTCTGCTCAGATTATGAGGCTGAGTGAAAATCACTCACCTCATAATTCTCCTTTAACTGCTTATATGCCTCTAAACTATGATGAAGGTGTTGTGCACCATCTAATCAAATCTGCCTATTTGTTTTTGTTTTTTAAAGGTGAGATTTGTGGGGGTGTGGTAGGTATGGCACTTTGACCTGTGGGTGAATATGTCAGAATGTTTACTCTGATAAAATAAACAGTTTTGTATTTATGAAAACAAGCAAGGATCTGTAATTAAGGAGATTAGCAACGTATTTTCACAAATGAATTTAAATACTTAAAGTTATTTATTTGCGATAACCTGAAGACAAAATAAGAACAATAATGTGCAAAAATATATATATTTATTAACTAAAAATCAGTGCAAAATAATAATTAAAATGTAACAGGTGACAATAAGGAATATGGATCAAAAATTACAATAAATTTTGATCAACAAGATAATATTAAAAATAAAATCACAGGATATTAATTCAAATATTAATGAAACAAAACTATGTAACTCCTGGAATGCGATGGGTAGCTTCTCAGTAACTAAACAGAATGTGACAAAATAATAGCCAGATTCAACATGTGACCTCTCCCAAGTTGGTTACTCACATTCTTTCACTGATTACAAAATAACAAGGTACCCAACAAAATTACTTTTTTTTTTAAACACCATATTAATAATATATACACAAATGTGTCAATAAGTAAAACCAAATAATATATATATAAGGTATATAGGTTGAATATTGTAAAAATATATATATAAAGAAATATATAAAATTACTCAATAAAGCAAGTATTTAAATGCTCCATGCAATACTTATATTAATACAATTGAAATTATTGCTAATACCTTCCTTTCAAAAAATAAAAATGTATATATAGGTAACTTTTATAGTGAGCTCTTTTCCCTATGATGAGACAAGGAAAACAAATCATAGAAGTCTCTTGTGTTCTTTAAGTTTGAGACATAGCAATTCCATCAATCTCATTCTAACACAGTCTGGTACCATGCCCAGTCTATTCAAAATATGGATTGTCCCCTAATTATAGAAATCCCTTACTCGGAGCTGGTTCAGTAAACAGGTAGAAAAATTTATAATTTATCAAATTGAATATTTAATCGTTGAAAAACAAACTTAAACAAATACATCCACAACAAAACATTTAAAAACAATTTAAAAACTTCCCTTGGGTAAACAGTAGTAAACGATCCATGGATGATCTGCAGGCCAACTGGTGTGGCATAAAAGGTTAGAGCAGATACATACAATGTATTTCATATACAGATACAATGTATCCCAAGTTACTCACAGCTCATGTAGCTCAGGGAGCTCGGGGAGAGACAGTCCTGCTCGAATCCCACAACGCTGAATGATTTTTTGCTTCAATAAGCGTATTCGGTAGTAGTAGTTGGGATCCAGAGATAGAAATCCTATTCCCCCTGCTTGGGACTCCCACTAGCCCTCGGGCTTGAATTTCAAATTAGAGAGATATCCCAAAAGCACTTCATATACAGTGCGGCCGCACAGTGAACAAAGAGGAAAGGTAGATGCAGGTGTCCCCACGGTAAGAAGTTCCAAGTGCAATAATGGATCCACAGGCTGTGTAAATAACGCAAACTGTCGTCCGGTCGTTTTTCTTAATCTCTGCTTTTTTAATTGTTTTTAAATGTTTTGTTGTGGATGTATTTGTTTAAGTTTGTTTTTCAACGATTAAATATTCAATTTGATAAATTATACATTTTTCTACCTGTTTACTGAACCAGCTCCGAGTAAGGGATTTCTATAATTAGGGGACAATCCATATTTTGAATAGTTTTGTTGAAACCCTGGGGATTACTATACTATATAATAATATTGCTTTGGCGTAACTCCATAATGTTCCCCTGTTTGCTGCATGTACCATGCCCAGTCCTTATCTTGTCGTTGTTGTCTGGTACCCTCACAATTTACAACCTGGGAATGTATGTGGTAAGGCTCTAAGAATCGCTGATGTTAGAGTCTTTGTCCAGAAACTATGAACTCAAATTCACCTTATATACTGATAGAATAGACAGAACAAAGATGGCTTGCCCATATTACAATATGTAGAAGAATATCAATAGGCCTTATAGTTTATGTCCTTTTTAGCCCCAAAT